AAATGAATGGAAGTCAATGCACGGTCCCCGCAGGGGTATACAAAACAGACCTGAGTGTGAGTGCGTGCGTGCGTGCGTGCGTGCGTGCGTGCGTGCGTGCGTGTGTGTGTAAAGCCCTTCGGTCCTCTAAGTCCCACCCCAACACCACTCTCAGAATTCCAAACATTCCTGTAGGAAGAAATTACAGCACTCTGGGAACGTTAGCCAGCCTGTTCGTGGCACATGGTGACCAGAGTGCTCAGGACAAATCAGAACAGCACACACACACACACTTTTTCAAACAAAGATAGGACATGATGTGCACATGAACATGTGCATCGGATTATACAACTTTTTTTCCCTCTTAAAGAAAGCATCGTGCTTGACGTAAACACACAGCATTGAACGCTGAGAACAGAAAAGCTGCTGCTGCTCCAAACACAGTCTTGACATCGGGTCAAGTGATGTTCAGGTTCATTAGTGGGACATGAGATGGGTGTGTGAGAGGATCGTAGTGGAGGGGGCTAATACTAAGGGAAAAAAAACAGGAGCACATCAGGACACTTCTTATGTACAGTGTCACTACCATTTACTCTCAAAACCTTAGAGTTTTCACATATTTATTACCACTAGTCTATTTGTTTGACATTTTAGGGCTTTAAAGGGGTTCTGCGCAGAAGTTAAAAATAACGACTCCCTCACCAGATCTTTGAACCAACTTAGCTTGGAGAAAGTGTTTTTAATCGACTCAAACTGTCATCACAGCCATTATGAAACAACTCTAGCCTTCCAAACGTCAGAGGCTTGTGTGAAGCTAATGTTTAAACCTTTACAGTGGCATTTATTTCGTATGGCATGTTTATTCCTGCAGAAATATTCAGAATTTCCTGCCAGAAATGTCCCAGATGTTCTACAGATAGCTGCTGCTGCTGTTTGCACCTGCAAATACCTACAGACTGCCATGTGAGTAATGGTGTAATCTGAATGTCTATGGAAACGGGGTTCATCTATTTTATTTGCTTTAGTCGTATGGTCACACCTTGGGTCTACAGGTTGAGATTCTTTGGTGAAGGAGAGGCACTGGGGACTAATCCATTCATGTAAAACATCTACACAATGTAGTTAAACTAACACCATCAAGTGAGAGTCCAAAAAACATCTGGCACCATACAAACTAGTCAAACCTGCATCCCTAAAAAGCCCTAATTAAGGTAATTTATTCTACAGAAAGTACTGGAAGATCTTTATCAACTGGTTGTAAATAGCAAAACGTTCTCGTTCAGGATTGATATGAAGAAAAAAAACAGCTGCTACAATTGGCTGTCAAGGTTTCTATGGATGTGCAGCCAATCTGCATTCATCAGTGTCTTGACAAATCACAAACTACTCAGATCCAAGCAAACGTTTCCAGGTTTAAAGGCTTTTGATCTCCTTTTTTTTTAACCGCTGCATCACTTCATCACTTGGGGTACTGAAAGTCTTAAATAAAAGTGTGGTCTTGTGCAGTTTTAAGGGGATAATGATGGTTTAATTGGCATTCCTCTCCCTCCTCCCGCGGTTGGTTTGGCCCATATTGCAGTGTTGGCTTCAGACGGGGGAAACCAGAGGACATATAGAACCAAAATGTCTTCCACGCCCCTCAAGTCCATTACGTTTGACTCGGAATGTGAAGGACTCACTGCACCCGTCTGGTTAGCATCTGACAACAAAACATGCCACCGAAAAGCAGCCAGATCATTCCCCCAAGATCCCCAAAATACACTGAATGAACGTCCGCAGACACAAAAACCAGCAATTATTGATTTCTGACGACCGTCTGGAGGTCAGGGCAAAAAGCTGGAGGTTCGTGCTCACAGGGGATATAAAGTTCTTTTCAATAAAAAAAAAAACCTGTACACATTTTTTGCATTTTAAAAGGTAAATTAGTA